GGAGGGTGGAGGGTGGGGGATGGGGGGAGATGAGGAAGTGAATGGAATGTGGCCTCCCTTGCTGTTAACAGAACCCTGCTGAGATTAGGAACAGAGCCTTTTTCTCTAATCTCCGAAATTTAGAGATACATTTTCTGGGACTCCAATGAGATTGGGCCTCTAACATCACTGTTGATAAAGCTTTCTTTAAAATGTTGCCCCAGATAATGGCATCTTTATTCCATGGTGGAATTTTCCCCTAGTAGGTGCTCTTTATGCATTTGTCCATTGATTAAAATGCTTTTAGGTTCATTTGCAAACCGAAAACAATGAAACAATCCTCTAATTTAAAGCACGACGTGATTTTTCTTCTCATGAAAATATTCACCCCTCTTTCCTCCCACTTCAGTGTTAACTGCGGAGTGGGGTCTGAGAACAGGGTTCCTCGGGTTCTTTCTAACAAATTATCTCCCCCTAAGATAGGAATGCAGAGCCGCCTCCCTCCACCGCTCCTGAAGACTTCTCTTGTGCAGGGTTTGTGCTGTCCCCTGGTGCTGGCTGGGCCTATGGGAGAGGAAGTGGGGGTGGGAAGACGGTGGGTGCAAAGGGAGAGAGGAGGAGGGAGGTTAAGAGAGAAAATGGAATCATAAAACAACAATAAGAGGGAAGTGTTTGAACATGCAGAAGTTTGGGCGATACTCAGAGCCTGACAGAGTTTTTGGAGCTCTGCTTGGATGAGATTCTCTTTAGAAAAGCTGTTTCATTACGCAGCTTAAGCCAACGACTGTTGGAAACATTTTTAGTTGTGTCATCTTGATCCGTGGTGTGTGAGTGACTTCACGGGCTCCCAGTCCTGGCTTGGACCCTGTTTCTCCTTTCCTCAGCTTTCCTCCAACTTTCTCAATAGCCAGGCGCTTTGCAGGCAGAGATGTGTTGGAGGGAAGGAGAAAATACAGCCATGAAACTAGTCATGAATAGTGCCGATTGGGAAAGTGTGAGAGTTTTGTTCAAGCCTTGGAACCAGTCTCTGCCTGAGCCCTGCAGCCTGAGAGACTTCTGCTTGGGGAGGGCAGGTCCATAATATTTACACTGAAGTTCAAAGGATGAACTGTGATCTTAATTCTGAGATCAACAAAGATTGAGGAAAGATATCAGATGAGGGCATCCCACTAACAGCTCTCTAATTACCTGTCAGTTGCAGTATCTTTAAGATCAAAAGTAAACAGGGCACAAAAGGCATAATAGACCCAAAGTAGCTTTAGATGCTCTGGGCTTTTCTTTCTTCTTACTGGTTGACTTCATCATCCGAGAACAAAGCAACGCCACGCAGTCACTTAGTCTAGTTGGCATGGCCATCTTTCCCGTGTTATTTTTCCAGCCAACATTCAGGGTTTTCTAAATGGTTGGAGTATATTTTTTTCCCCCTCTTCAGATCACCATATGTGCTGAATACCTTTGGGGGGAATTTTTTACAAGACTTTCATGAAGTGAAAACATTCAGCTGAAGAAGTCAACTGTAAATGGCCGGATCGTGTGTCACTGAGGGGGACGCAGACACCAGCCAGAGAAATCAATCTTCCTCCATCTTTTCCCCATGTGGCCACTTGGAAGTTAGCTAACTCCAAGCCCCTCTGCTTGTTCTCTCTTCCTGCCTTCGTCCTAGAAAGCAAAGCCTCTGTTTTTTTCCTGAATGACTCATTTACAAGATTTGATGAAAATAGGTTTCAGTTCAAGGTACTGTCAGCTCCAGCCAGCTTTTACCGTGAGGCCTGGTGTACAATGTTCCCAGCTAAGCCAGGGAACCACCACCTACATTCTTTTGTCTTGAGACTCATATCCAGAGGTTATGGTTTGCAGCTGCTGGGTTTGCCTTTTGGATGCTAAATGACGTGTTAGCCTGAGAGAATGTTTCCTGCTGCCTTTTTTTCCCCCCCTCTTTTTTTTACTCTCTTTTCATTTCTGCAGTTTTCTAATTCGGAACTTGTGTTGTTCTCCTCTCTTTGCAGACTTTGGTTTGAGCAACTGTGCGGGGATCCTGGGTTACTCCGACCCGTTCAGCACACAGTGTGGCAGCCCTGCCTATGCTGCCCCCGAGCTGCTCGCCAGGAAGAAGTATGGCCCCAAAATCGACGTCTGGTCCATGTGAGTTATTGAGCTTCTAAGAGTGAATATTCCTTCTGCTGTCTATACAGATCCTTTCTTATGAGATAATGCTGGGGGATTGGTCAGTGTGTATTATATCTGTGGTCCCCAGCCCCCAGGCTGTGGCCCGATACCGGTCAGTGGCCTGTTAGGAACCAGGCCGTGCTTATTGTCTTCCATGAAACTTAGGAACCCGGCCGCACAGCAGGAGGTGAGCGCCAGCGAAGCTTCATCTGTATTTACAGCCGCTCCCCATTGCTCACATCACTGCCTGAGCTCCGCACCCCCACCAAGTCCATGGAAAAATTGTCTTCCTTGAAACTGGTCCTTAGTGCCAAAAAGATTGGGGACAGCTGTATTATATGATAGGCTCTGGGGTAGGCAATCAGGGGTTCTTTGGGCTCTGGCTTTTCTACACAAAGTGTCAGAGTGGCCTTTACCAAAATTCACTGAGGTGCTGGGGAGAGAAGCCATCAAAGTCCTGCCATCACGATCTCACATTTTGGCTTTGTGAATTACTCGGATCCCTCCCTCCTGCCCGAGCTTCCCGTCGCCATCAGCGTGAAACTCCATGCGGTGCCTGGCCCATGCCCCTGCGGGCCTCGCTCTGCCCACCTCTCCTGCTCCGTGCACACTGCCCCGCCCTCTGCCTGCAGTGCTTCAGACACATTGTCCTCTCTTCCCTCTCTCCCAGCCCTGGGCTTCGCACTTGCGATTTCCTTTGCCTGGAATGCACGTCCCAGCTCTTCAAACAGCCTGCCTGTTCTCCTGCTCCAGTCTTAATCCAGTGGCACCACTGCTGAGAACATCTCTGCGTTCCCTGCCAGGGGGTCCCCCATACCCTCTCCTCACCCTTTCAATGTCCTCTGCAGCGCCTCTCCCTGCCTGTCGTTTTCCTGTTTGTGAATCTGTTCCTTGTCTGTCTCCCCAGCGGTCAAGGACGCTGCATGAGGGGAGAGACCTTACTGGTCCGGTTCACCATTTTATTCCCTGGTGTTCGTCCACCAGGGGCAAATGAAATGAATATTTAAAGGAATGCATCCCCGGTTGCTGCAGAGGCACCAGGCCTTGCTTAGGCTCTGGTCGTGGAGCCCAGGTCCCTGCTAGTCCTGGGGAGTGACCCCCCCTCACCATCTGCTGGATGTGACAGTATAGGAGCCGTGGGGAATCCTGGATCCAGGGTAGGACTAAATTCCTTGCTCTGGAGAGATGGGCTCTAGACAGACAGAGGGTGAGATCCCGATTAAGATGTACACTTGTGGCCGGGCACAGTGGCTCATGCCTATAATTCCAGCACTTTGGGAGGCTGGGGCTGGAGGATTGCTTGAGGCCAGGAGTTCAAGACCAGCCTGGGCAGCATAGCAAGACTCCGTCTCTAAAGAAAAGTAGACGCTGGGGATGAGAGGGGCTGGTTTGAATGGAGGGTATGTTGACCTGGAACATTTCTGGAATTCCCCTGCCTCTCTCCATCCTCGCTGCGCTACCCTTGTCCAGGCTGGCAGAGAAGCTAAGGTTCGCTGAGTGCTCGGTGTATGCCAGACACTGTGTCACTTCATTTTCACAGCCACCCAGTGAAATCATTACTCTCCTATTTTATGAAAGAAGAAACCCATTATAAGAGAAACTAATACAATTGCCAAGGTTATGGAGCCACTAAGTGGTGGAGCTGGGCTTGAACCAGGCAGTGACCTTTCAGGGTCTCAGACACAGTACTGGCTCCGGAACATGGTGTGCGAGGTGCTTGCCTGCCCTGTGGCCTCTTTGGAGCCGTTCCTCTCTTCCTGTCCCCTGCCGCTCTCTCGCCAACCCGGCCTTGGCTGCTGTTCCTTGGACGCAGCCAGCCCCCGATACGCTCCTGCCCTTGCAAGCACCGTGCCTTCAGCCTGCAGTTCTTTTTCCCAGCCCTGCACCCTTTCCCTTTCCCTCTTGTTTCTTTGGGGGCTGGTGCCCTGGACAGCCTTCCCATGTCCCCTTTGGCCCCCTGCTCCCTGCTTTCCCAGCCCTCACCGTGTGGTCACTGTCCATCTGCTAGAACCCCTGGGCTGAAGCCAAGGGGCAGGGACCACTCGGCTTGTTCCCAGGGTTCTCAGCACCTGGCGCGGAGCCTGGAGAAAGGGAGGGAAGAAAAAAGGAGGGGGGGGGGAGAAATAAGGACAGGAGGGAGGGGCAGGTCTTTCATCCAGAGAAGCAGGAGCTGGAAGGTCAGGGAGAGGCTGAAGCTGGCGGAGAAAGCAACAGAAGAACATGAATCAGCTCAAGGGTCTGGAAGCGAGAGGAGCTCAGGGCGTTGTGGTTGGAGATTGAGAAGAAGCGGAGACAGAATGAGATGCGGAGGGGTACGGAATCCCCGGACTTTCCCCGAAAGGGCCAGTTGTCCTGGAGCCCCGGCTGAGAGGGGGAGAGATCAAGGCAGGGTTCTGTTCCTGAGTGGGCTGGGGGCTCTGGCGAATCACCCCCGCTGCTCAGGACAGTCCTGTGAGGGACGGCTCTCACCCACATTTTGCATGGACAGCAGAGAGCGGTGAGTGTGGCCCAGAGGTGCATGTGCAGCCCATCAGCGGCGGGGCCAGGGTCACTCCAGAGCTGTGGTCTAGGGTGCAGGCTGCACGTGGAAAGTGTGTGGTGTGGACCTGGTGGGATGGAGCTGGCAGCAGCGGCAGAGGACGCTTTCTCTTCCAGGTGCCTAGGTGGTTTCGCAGGCATCGCTAGTCAAAACTCAAAACTCTGCCCGGGTAGGCCTCAGAATCCTTCTCAACACAGTGCTCCTGGCAGCCAGTGCCGGTGGATCAGAGTCACACATGAGAGGAAATCCATCTGGGTTTCTTCCAGCACTTACGGATTCTAAGTGTCTGGCACACTGTCTTCCCTCAATAAATTTATCGAATGGATGAATATGAATGTGTGAGGCTGTAATCACCTTCTTAACAGGGAACTCGTTCATGCTAAATGGAAAGCTATGAAAAGGAGAATTTGTGCCCCAAATGCAAAAGGTTGTGGGAGCCTGTAAATCCAAAAGGCTCCCCCCGCCCCCGTGGGTGTTATATGACTGCAGCTATGGGAGACGCAATGACCAGGCAGGGAAGAAGTCCGTCGATTGCAGAGCAGGTGACAGTTTTTTTCCTGAGATCCTGCCCTTGAGGGGACTGGACAGTACAGTGTTGTCCTCAGTTTTCATGGTGACAAGACTCAGCCTGTGAAGGGGACCCCTTCCAGACTGTGGCTGATGAAGCAGGCATCTCCTGCAAGTCTAGAGCTACAGCGGGGAGGGAGCCACGTGCGGCATCAGAGCTGGAGGAGGCACCGGGCTGAGGCTCGTGACAAGTGTCACAGCACTCCTTAAAAGCAGCATGGGACTTCTGTCCCCACCAGCTAATGGTGACGTGGGAGCACATCAGTTTTCCGTCGGAGACATACACAGGGAGATGAAAGGCACAGGCTGCCAAAAGGTCAGATTGAAACTCGGACTTTGTTTTTGTTCCTTCTGCCAAGTCAGTTGGCCAGGGACAAGAACTGACATTTAGTGACCACAGATCTTCCATTTCTCAGTTTGGGGCCCCATGATGAAAATAAAGGGACTGGTCCCCCAGTGCAGGTTCTTTCCATTCCGCCTGGCCCGCTGCCACCTGCTCTGTCTCTATCCATGAACCAGAAGCAATGACTCCACCGGCAGTACCGGAAGGAGGAGGGGCCTGGAGAGCTGTGTTGAGAGGGATTCTGAGGCCTAGCTGGGAAGAGGACCCTGGACCAGGATGCCTGGACACTGCAGGGGCTGTCCTTCCAGCCAGGCAGCAGCTCGCTTCCCTCCCCTATGCTTGCGCCTGGCGCAGCTGGGCTGCTTCTGGGGCAGCTGGACATTTCTTGGCTTAGTTGTACTTCTGTTTTTCCAAGAAGGTGACATACAACTGAAGGCGCTCTGTGAAATAAAGCACCATATGTGCAAGCCCGTGAGGAGTGGTGGCACCGTGTGGACAAGGTCTTTCAGTTCACCATGGCATGGCTCTGGAGGCCCATGTAGGATCTCCAGATGGGCCAGAAACTGAAGGCCCAAGAGCCCCTGTTTTGGTGCCCCATGGTGAGGACTTGGGGAGGAGAGTCTCACCTTGCTGTGGCCGTGAGGGACTGTGTTTTATTCTTTCTTATAAATGAGGTTAACCGGGGGCAACCAACTCCCTGGAGCACTTCCTTAGGGGATGAGGCCACAGGGCCTGTACTGAATTCATAGGGATGGCGTAAATTAGCCTAAGAAACAAAAGGAAGCCATGTGTCTTGCTCCGTTTCGTGCTGCTATAACAGAATACCTGAGACTGGGTAATTGATAAAGAACTTAAATTCATTTTCTCGAAGTTCTAGAGTCCGGGAAGTCCAAGGTCAAGGTGGCAGAGGTTCAGTTGTCTGGTGAAGGCCGCTCTCTGCTTCCAAGGTGGCTCCTTGACGCTGCGTCCTCTGGAAGGAGGAACGCTGTGTCCTCACGTGGCGCGAGGTGGAAACACGAGAGAGGTGCATGTTGGGTGAGGCCTCTTTTATAAAGGCCTTAATCCCGTTCGCAAGGGAGGAGCCTTCATGGCCTAATCACCTGGTAAAGGCCCTACCTCCTGACACCATCACATTGGCCGTTAAGTTTCGACACCTGAACTTTGGAGGGGACGCATTCGAATCACAGCACTGTGTGAGCTGCCTCTACATAAGCACACACACTGTGCTGGAAATTTGTTCATTCAGTGAATATTCGCAGTGCCAGGCACTGTGCCGAGTCCTGTGTGCAGGTGGTGAGTTAGATCCCTTGGTCAGTCCTTTCCCCGTAATGACACTTGCCAAAAGTGTGGCCATTTTTCTTCTTCTTTTTTTTTAATCTGACACACTTATCTACTGCTCTGGACTGAATTGCAATTAATATGTTGAAACCCGAACCCCCTCTGTGATGGGATTTGGTGGTGGGGCCTTTGGGAGGTGATTAGGTTTGAATAAGGTCATGAGGGTGGGACCCCATGATGAGATTAGTG